TCTCCAACGTAAACCAATAAAAATACTAACATGATAGATCTATAGACCTATTCTTTTGGAAGGCCATTAACAAAATTTCCCTCATTTTGCGGTTGTCAATCTTTGGTTGACTCAAAACACAGTCTAGTTAGGTTAGTGGCTAACTAACCGAGATTATGCTTTAAATATTGCATTTGCAGGTATAAACTACACAGGCACACATCAGTGTAATGCTAATTTATTCATTTTCTATGAATGCAATTGCACAATCGCTTTCAATATTCTCTTTAAAGAATTGTTAAGGTTAAAGGAATCGTGATAAATGTGGTTAGGCTGGCATAGAACACATGGATTTCACTGTCTTTCCCTTTATTTTTCTTCACATATTATCTTTTTTTTATTTTTTTATTTTTTATATTTTACACTTAATTTTGTGAATAAGAAAGGACATCCACATGGAGGTAAAACTATATAGAAGACAAGTATATTTTTCTCCTTCTTCCATATCCAAGGGCAATATATATCAAACTCCCTCCCTTCTTCCTCTCCAAGTTTGAGTCGCCATCTCTTCTCATCCTGTCTTTGTCTTCGTCCCCTCGGGGGACATCCGATAAAATTAGAACGATACAGATCAATCTTCGAATTTCTCATAGACAATGAGAAGCATAGCAACTTGTTACAGCGAGCATGCCATAAAGGTCTCAGATTCATATTGCTCAGGCCCATCAAACCAAGCTTATGTGACCCCAAAATTAACCCCATCAATCCCAAGTGAAGTGACATGTTTATACAGAGCCAAGCTCTCAACCCAGAACCGGATTTTGATCACACTCACCTGGTTCAACAAATTCACATTCCAAGGCCTCACAATCACCATTGGAGACAACAAATCTCAGCCGTCCAAATCGAGTACCAGCACCCACAAGTTGGAAAACCAAAAGGGCACCTTGGCATTCCAATCCTGCAATACCAAGATTGAAGTTTTCTGGGATTTGTCCACTGCCAATTATGAATCCGGACCGGAACCGGCAACCGGGTTTTTCCTCATGGTTCTGGCTGACTTGGAACTCTGCCTCCTCCTCGGCGACAAGGTCGAACAAGCTTTGGACCTGGAGAAGTACAAAACCATCATGTCACAAAAAATATTCACATTGGTTTCTAGGAGTGAGCATTTCTCAGGCAACGCTGTGTATGCAACAAAAGCTCAATTCTGTGACACTGGAGTATCACATGACATTGTGATCAAGTGTGATCAAACCGAAGAACTGGGCTCGAAAACCCCGGTTTTATCTGTCTGCATTGACAAGAAGAAGATTTTTCAGGTGAAGAGGTTGAGGTGGAATTTCAGAGGGAACCAAACAATTTTTTTGGATGGTTTACTGGTGGATTTTATGTGGGATATTCATGACTGGTTGTTCAATCCAAAATCTGGAATTGCTGTGTTTATGTTCAGGACAAGGAGTGGATTGGATTCCAGGCTCTGGTTGGAAGACAAGAATTTGGAAAAGAAAGGGCAAGAAAATAGTGATGAATTTTCTTTGTTGATCTGTGCATGTAAGAGCTCTGACTGATTCTTTTGTTTATTTATTTTATTATTTTAAAACTTAAAAGATGATAGGAAATTATTAATTGGTATGGTAAGGAAAATTGTACAGATTCCAATTATACTAGAAATATTTGCATTAAAAGTCCTCTGGCTTTGTCTACTCTCTACTTCCTCTCTCGTTCCCTTCCAAGCCAAAGATTCCAATTTTATTATGCTGAGTATATTCATGCGTGACACATATTATAGAATTTAACGGTTGAATGTGGCTTCAATAATTTAAGAAAAATTAATGAATAAATGTGATCCACTTAAACAGACAAATGTATATTCTACATTTTTATATACTATAATACTCGATTTTGTCTTCCTTCTTTCGAGATTTATAAGAGAATATTTTTTTTTTTTCCGAAATTCTACAGTACTTCAATTTATGACATTGTGAAATCCATCAGGTTAAGCAATTCATTTAAAAGACGATATATAGTGTGAAATCCGTCAAGTTAATGTGATTCGTTTAAAAGACGATGTATGCTACACATTGAGGTTAAAAAAAAAAGGTCAAATTTGCCTTCCTTTTTGTTTCTTGTTTAGTGATATTTGTCTTATGGCCAAAATAGATTGGCTTTCTACAACCAAGGGGCAACTATTGCCCTTTTTGGCAATTAACTTACCCATTGAAACGTGCACATATTTTGGTCTGCCATTATAACATTTGTTTATGCATTTTTTGTTGAGGTTAGTTACAAGGAAACTTTTGGGAAGTTTTGTTGCATACCTATAGCCACAAACTTGATATTATTAGTTTGCAAAAAACGGCTGAATTTTATTACTTGGCATTGGGTTTACCCAATCGATTAGGTTTAAGCTTTAGGTACTAGTACTACTATTGTTTTGGCATATTTGCCAACCTCATTCGAACCAACAATATATGTGTTCAAAACATTTGAGGTAGGAGAAGCAAATGAGCTAGGATTACGACAGACTAACAGTTTTATTCTTTTGATTGTAACAAATAGTACCTCGAACTCAATTGAAAGAAACTATTATGCCAAAAAAATAAATTGAAGGAGACTATATTTTGAAGGGCCACTTGATACTTTTGAGTTAGGTTTGTATCAGGCACCAACTAGAGGTGATATCAAATTGTCTTAGCTTGTGTTCAGGTCATGTCGTTTTAAATCTTTGTTGAATATTAGTTACGTTAAATTTTAACACAATATCTGTAGTTAGTTATAACATAACCCTATAATATTGTACGAGTTTTAAATTACCACCTAAATCTAGAGAATTCAAACACGATACTCACTCTCTGAGATCGAATTATATATGTATATGAGCATATGAGTTCAACATCGTACATGAATAACTTCCACGACTAGGACTATATAGCTGTTAGCTAGTAGCTATTATTTTCACGGATTAAATTTCATTGCAAGTACCAAAGTGGGTTAGGTCCAGCCTCACACGTGACAATAAATTTAAGTCACCATCTCATGGAAAACAAGTTTCATTCGATTTCTCATTTAGGCCACGTTAGAATTAAATAGATAGCCCAAAGCTTGCCTAAGATATTTTTTTTTTGGTCAAAGTTTCAAAGAGTTTGTTTCATTCATCAAATTTAGGTCATGTTAGAAATGAATTGGATGGGATGAGATCATTCGTTAAATTTAAAATATTATTCTTAGTCATGAAAAAAAATTATTCAATTTAATCGCCATCAATAGATAAGATTGAAAAGACAATTTTTAATTTTTTTTTTCCATAATTAACATATCTAGAATCTAACAGTTATCCAATCCAATTCTAGACATAGAACTCATATATCTTTTACTTTCAACTTATACAAAATTTGGAAGTTTCGTTTCTTTTTTTAACATATACATTAAATTTAGTGAGTTATACTTTTGTAGTTTGTACAATGTTGGGTATTGAGGGTGAAACCACTTACCGGAACACAATTTCTTGAACTTAAGAGAGTTTCTAAACAACATAGGTCTAGTTTCGGCCAAGGCACTCTTAACGCTCATGTCGGTAGCCTGCCATAATCAAACTCTAAGCAGTGGTCTTGAGCTTAGATGAGTGCTTACATTACTATGTTCTGTACGAAGTTTTTTATTACAAACAATATTTTATACTAATCTACATTAAAAGAAGGGAGATAATTTGAACCTGATACGCCGCAGGTTAAAGAGAAAAGTCTTAATCACCGTATCAATCCATCACCTGAGAAAAGCTGGTTCAAGGCATTTGTTAATGGTCTTTTCTTTTGAGCTTTTTATTTATTTACTTAATCATCATTTAAACATGATTTTTACAAAGTTAAATATCATCGAGCTATGCGTGTAAATTAAATCTTAACGGTTTCAGGCCTTTGTTTACAGGTTTCTCATGTGAGATGTATCATATTTATTATTTTGGAGAACGGATATCTCATTTGTCCTTTCATCTTTGTACAAACCATTTTACTGCATTGTGACCGTTGTGCTAGTGATAACTTTGGGAAACAGTTCATGTTGTAGTAGGAGACCAAAAGCTTGACTCCTAAAGGCTGTAACGTCTGTTCGTTGTTCAAACTCTTAACTTAAAAAATTAGAACATGAATTGGGCTCAATAATATTGTATCTTTTGAACCAAGGAGGAGGGGCGAAGAGTCATAGTTATTGAAACAATGATCTAGTACGTTTCTTCTTTGTGAATTTATTTTATTTTTCGAATAAAAAATGGCTTATAACTTCAAAACTTTCACTAAAAAAGTTTACAAACAAAACTATCTATTTAAAATCTTTGCGCTATTGCTTTTAGGGTGCGTTTGGTACGTGGAAAGAAATTCATGAAAAATAACATTTGAAGAAAAATATGTTTGGTAAAGATAGACAAGTAAATATGAAATTTAGAGACAAATTCATAGGTAAAATTGAAAACTAAAACTTGAGTATCAATAATTATTATGGGCATAATTAATTTTACAATATTTAATAAGAATAATATTGTTCTAAAAGAACGTAACGTTAAAATGTGTGCAATAAATGGCATGAAAAGAAGGGAAAAAATGCAAACTCTCCGATACATTCCTCATGAGTTTTGTTTTTCCACTTAGTTTTTTCAAGTCTGATTTACCAAACATGCGAAAGGAAGTGATTCTATCCAAGCCTGTTTCCCGCATGTAACGTAGCCTTGGCGTTTTTTAAGGTTGGAAATTGGAATACTTCCCTTCCTAGATTAATCTTAAAATCCATCATAATTTGTTAAAAAAAAAAAAATCCATCGAAATTTAGACTGAATGAACAAACTATATAATTTGCACTATTAGTGGTAAATGCAAGAAACGTGGTGGTAGTAAGCTGAGCTCTCGGGGTTTTCGCACATTCCAACAAAAAAATGGCGAGAAAGTCGAAGATCACTCGAGATACACTGACTGAGAGCAACGTGTTCCGCAAGGCCTTGGTCTCTGATATAAAACATAACTCCCTCCCACCGTTTTCTCCCATCTTCCTCCTCAATCTCTCAAATCCAAAACAAACCATTCAGTTTCCGTTCTCTCTTCTGACGATCAACAATGTCGGCCTTCAAGGGAAAGTATCACGGTAATTATCGCCTAACGACGTTACATAGTCTGTTACTTTGTTTTCTCTCTCGTTTGAAATCCTCTGGCCTTTTTGTTATTGTTTGGTTTGATTTTTAAATTCCGATCGATAAAACTTTTAGTGATTGCTTTGATCTGTATTTGCATGGATTGAATTTACAGCATGGATTATGGAATCTGGATCAATTTATGTATCGGTGATTTCTTACTAGCCATAAGTAAATTATTGTTTGCTAAAATGATACAATGTGTTGATTTGTGCGTAATTTTGAAATTTAATTCAAAGATTAGTTAAATTTACAGCATGATTAGTGTGTTACTGGGTGGTTTGATGCCTAACCTAAATTGTGGGGAGGGACATTCGAACTCGGATGCATAGAAGAGATCATATTCGTTTAATTTATTTTTAATGGAAAAAAATATTAATTTCACATAGTTTGAAGAATGGGAAAATTGGGACCGTTTCTCGTTATTCTTTCTCTATATTTTTTTTTTATAAACAATTAAGTTTTGGATTTTTGTTTCCCTCTATTTCCATAAGAAAGGTGCATACGATAAACGTTCCCCTCACTCTCGCAAAGCGAGAGTCTTGTTGGCTTGGGGTTGCATTTTTATTTTTATAAGAAATGTTATATATTGAATTCTCATTGTCTTGCAGATGAGCTCATTGCTAATGCTACCTACATTGGTACCCCGGGAAAGGGTATCCTTGCAGCCGATGAGTCAACTGGCACGATTGGCAAGCGTTTTTCCAGCATTGGCGTTGAGAATACTGAGACAAACAGGCGCGCTCTCCGTGAGCTGCTCTTCACCACTCCCGGTGCCGTCCAATACCTCAGCGGAGTCATTCTCTTTGAGGAGACCCTCTACCAAAAGACCGATGCTGGTATTTTCCCGTTTGCATTGTGGAATTCATGTTTAGAAGCGGGTTTAATTCAAAATTGATGAATGGTTTTTAATATTCACGTGTTTGTCCTGTTTCCATTTGGTACTTGGATGATTATTCCATGCCATGATATCGACGTTTCGATTTATGCTATGCAGGTAAGCCATTCGTTGATGTTTTGAAGGAAGGTGGTGTCCTCCCTGGCATTAAGGTTGACAAGGGCACTGTCGAGCTTGCTGGTACCAATGGTGAAACCACAACTCAGGGTCTTGATGGCCTTGGCGAACGTTGCAAGAAGTACTACGAAGCTGGTGCCCGATTTGCAAAATGGCGTGCCGTGCTGAAGATTGGCCCCAACGAGCCTTCTCAGCTGTCAATCAACGAGAACGCCAATGGGTTGGCCCGATATGCTATCATCTGCCAGGAGAATGGCCTCGTTCCCATTGTTGAGCCAGAGATTCTGGTTGATGGATCCCATGACATTCAAAAGTGTGCTGATGTGACCGAACGTGTTCTTGCAGCATGCTACAAGGCCCTTAACGACCACCATGTCCTGCTTGAAGGAACTCTATTGAAGCCTAACATGGTGACTCCAGGATCTGATGCAAAAAAGGTTCCACCCGAGATGATTGCTGAGTACACTGTCCGTGCCTTGCAGCGCACCATGCCCGCAGCTGTCCCTGCTGTGGTGTTCCTCTCTGGTGGGCAGAGCGAGGAGGAGGCTACCATCAACCTCAACGCTATGAACAAGTTGAAGGCGAATAAGCCATGGTCTCTTTCCTTCTCCTTCGGACGTGCCCTTCAGCAAAGCACTCTCAAGGCTTGGTCAGGAAAGGAAGGGAACGTGAAGAAGGCGCAGGAGGCTTTCCTAACCAGGGCCAAGGCCAACTCGGAAGCGACATTGGGAAACTACAAGGGTGATGCCAAGCTCGGTGAAGGTGCCGCGGAGAGCCTTCACGTCAAGGACTACAAGTATTGATTGATGATCGTTCTGGATTGCTTTATTCTTTCAGTAGTCTAGGTCTTTTTTTTTGTTGAAACTTTATTCGTATAATCTCGGTCGTGATGAGATTATTACCGGATACTAGTAGGTTTTGATAAAAGCTTGAGGAACTATGGCAAGCATGGAAGAGTTTTGTTTGTTTCATCAACTTGGTTTTGGTTTGGAGAAATTTAAACCTCTTGTTTATATTCTGGTTGATCGAGAATGTACTTATTTGAACTTTAGTTTTTGATTGGGGTGTGCTATCCACACATCCCCTTTTACTTCTCACACACCCCTTATTAATTTATGTCCGTTGATCTTCTTCAATTCATCCGATTCGACGGCCGAAAACTAAAAAGGTGTGAGAGAAGTAAAAATGGGTGTGTGGATATCACACCCCTTTTGATTTAGTTGCGTAAGCAAAATCTTCGATTGGGTTAGTATTGTTTTAGGCCCAATACTGTATTGGGCTTTCACAATTGTAACATGTAAATTGTTTTAGGCCCAATATAGTCATAAGTTTTGGGGTTGAATACACACACCTCCTAAGGTTTTCGTGTTTTCTCAAAGGGATGTGATATCCACACACCCATTTTTACTTCTCTCACACCCTTTTAATTTTCGGCCGTCGGATCGGATGAATTGAAGAAGATCAAAGGACATAAATTAACAAGGGGTGTGGGAGAAGTAAAAAGAGATGTGTGGATAGCACACCCCTTCTCAAAAACCCCTCAGGTTTAAAACATTACGCTAACATTCTCTGAGATTTTAGTTCACTTACACAAAACCCCTTCAAGGACAAATTTACCCTTTTAATTAATTATCCAATTTTGAATCTTGTAATTGTTATTATGATGTTGTATGTGTAGGATTTAGAGGTGAGCAATAGCTATTTTCTGATGCTATTTTGGCGATTTGGGAGGCCAATCGTCACAGGTTGCAGTGACTGGTATCCTTTTTCTAGGCCTCTGTTTCCTCTTGTGCTCTTTGCGCATCTTATTTTAGTCCCCTCTGAGACATCCGACAAAATTAGAACGATTATTTTCATTGAGAAAAAAGTTTTAAAATATGCTCTTTCTTTTTTCTTATTTTCTTTTTTTATATCAAATATAATATTTGGAGGCAGAACAGAAAATAAATAATGTATTAGGAATCATGTCTGCATCTAAGCTTTTACCTATACTGGTATGCTCACATGTCAATTTAGATTAAAAACCACTTATCACTTATCAGCAGAGCGGCCATATGGGATCAAAGATCGGGAATTAATTAATGGAAAAATATAATATATGTGTGTGTGTGTGTGTATAAAGAAGGATCGAAGTGAAGAATATTCCAAGGCCTAAGCAGCATCGGTCATTTTGTTCTCCAATATCTGCGTCGGATCCACGCATTCCATGTTCCTGGTTAAAATATTTCAACAACTTTTTTTTTGAAGTTTAAATACTAAGATAGGTCTATTCATACACATTTTTTTTACTTTTACGTATATTTGTTAATTTTTGTTTATTGATCTTCTTAAATTATTGAATTTTACGGCCGAAAATTAAAAAAGATGTGTGAGAAGTAAAAATGAATGTGTAGATAACATTGTCTTAATTAAATATTATTCAACAAATTAAAATTACCCGACATTGCAGGAACCTCTTCAAAGACCTACTTGGCCATGGCCAGTTGGCTAATTGGTTTCAGAAAACAAGAGAATGAGAGATGAAAAGAGAGGTAGGTGAAGCCTCCATAACTTAGTGTTCAACATCCTAACTACCACTTCTTTTTCTTCTTCTTTCACAAAAGTTTCCAACCTCGACCTGAATTATAATTTGAATATCAACTTTTGAAAAAAAAAAAAAAGTAGACGTAAATTATAATTTGAATATTTACTTTTGAAAAAAGGAAGTTGACATTGACGTAGTTACATTGGCTAATTAGAGTTTATGTACTCTCCTCAATGTACTTAGTTGAAATTCTCTCTCTACAATTTAAGATCAATTTAAATAAAACATGAGTTGTATTAGAAGTTATACAAAAGAGTGATGGCTATCGATGTACGACATCAAATTGCAAACATAACACTACTGTGAATCGTGATAGAGTCTCACCTTGCACTTAGTAAATCAACTAATAAGTACGTAGAAGTTGAAAGGGAGAATATTAGAACTTGGATTTTTTATTTGTGTAAAATGGATACCACGTTGTACAACTCCAAAAGCATGTCGAACGCTCGAAGTAACCAAGAATAACTGCGCTTATGTCAAAATAAATGGAAGAAGAGTCAACTGAATTTTGTTCATAGGTCTCATAAGGAGGCGAAGTGTAAACCTAATGAGACATTTCGTCATACCATATTCTTTTGCATGCTTTTATTTTTAAATAATTTGGCACTTTTAAATACAAAAGAGAAGATGGGCGTGACATAAAAGTAAGAAAATTGTGGCGCATGATCCAAATGATGCAATTGATTTTGGTTAATATATAAATGCGTTGAAAATTGAAAGTTTGTTCGATGAGGCATATATAATAACAACTCTTGTTTTGACTTATAAGTAGCAACGAGAAATGCGGTGGGTGAGGTGACAAGGAACCAACACGAAGCATATACGATTTGACTGTGCAAATCACACACACGAGGCATATACGATTTGACCGTGCAAATCACACACACACACAATTAGTGACGGAGCCAGAATTTTACAACAAAGGGATCATGATTTCGACCACAAAAAGAATTCATGGCACCATTCTGTCGAGCATCAATTGGGCACCTATCAAAATCTACCAACATTCACTGAAAGCTTGTGATGACATCTAACAGTAGCCGTTGCGTTCTTCTAGCATTTGTATCTGTCAAGGTGTGCCTAACCTAGCAAACTGTCAAGACCTACCTGCCAAGACTTTTTGAGTGAAGCATTAGGTCGAGCATGTGGTGCACACCATTAAGTTGCATAGAAGAAAAAAGAGAAGGAAGACACGAGGAAAGAAAATTGGAGAAAGAAGAAGCACAATCGGTTGTAATTTAACATTGTTCATTCTCTCCTTAAGTAGGGTCTAAAGATAAATCTATCAATAAGTATATAAAGGTTTAGGAAGCTGTTGGGGTCATGAGCAGCTATTGACCCCAAAGTGACTCCGCTACTTCACACAATAATGTAGATGCTGCATTAGAATAATTTTACACTAAAAAAAAAAAAATTCAATGTCACTTAACACCATTGAATTATGTATCTAATTATTCAAATGAAGCATGAGGCCTGAAATGGACCGGGTGAGAGAGTCAATATTAGGCCACTAAAGCAAAATGTTTAGTGCCGTACTAAAATAATGAATGCTATTATATGATGTAATCAGTTTATGTGTTACAGCATGAATGAACGATTAGTTGAATTTAATTTAGAATGCATTATGAATTAAAAAAAAACACGCTTTAAAATTTGACTATAGTTTATAGTTAGTGACCTTACAGTATTCTAAAATCAGTGTAACGTGTGTTTCTCTTCTTAAATTGGAACCCCTAAATTCTCTTTGTGTAGTGTAGGTACAATCGATCATATAAAGGATAGGAGAGACATTGAAGGGGTATTCCAGAGCGTTTGATGGGTTGTTTATTGTTACAAAAACAAAGAAATTTCTTTGGAAATAACATTCACGTTGTAAGTTTATGTATCCTAAAAGTCAAAACTGCCAACACTAGAGAAGCTAGCTACACACAATGCCATTCATTCAAGGGGTAGTTTTGGCCGCTTTTTCTTTGTATACTTCAACAATCAATTTGTGCAAAAACAAATTAAATTTGATTTGGCATAATAAAAAAAGAAGACATGGATCTCAAATATAGGAGAGATAAATACAATTTGTCTTGAAATATAGGCTCTTAAGGGGATGTGGAGTCACTTAGTACTACGGTTTCGTGGTGTTCATTTTTATTTGTAAGTGAGAAATCTTAGGTTCGATTCTTATTAAAGACGAATTTAAACCACATTATTGCTAATCCATTGTGAGGCTTAATCCACTCTCACTCTCTTCGCATAGATAATGTCATATGTTAAAAAAAAAAATATATATGATGTGACTATAATATCCTGTAACTTTAAATACATCAAAATAAAAATGAAGTAGATGAAGGCAGTAAAAATATACCATATGTTTCTTTAAATCTCACCCGTTTATTTCACGTTGTAGATTTTTCGCCAGATATGAATATAGGCTGAAAAAAAGAAGAAGACAAGCATTGTCTTAAAGGCCGGAACCAAGAATGCCGGTGTTGGTTTTGGGTATCACAAGTTCACAAAACCAAACCAAAACCAGAGTCGCCGTCAAACCCCACAGGATTTGGTTGGCTGGTTTTTACCTTTTGACCACCTTCCAACCTACTTAACCTAATCACGGGACGGCGGCTGGTTTCGTGAAGACCTACCACCGTGCCTAATTACTTTTTTACCCTCCAATTAATTTGGGCTCTAATTCTTTTTTGGTAATTAATTTAGGCTCCAACTTAAAGAAAATATAAATGTGTGTGTAGAAGGTAAAAATTGTGTGTGGTTACTGGTTAAGGCCTTTGAAAGGCATGTGCATATTTTAACTGTCCCACATGAATTTTCTCCTAATTAGACTAATTAATGAAAATTAATGTTTATTATTTGTTTTGAGAAAAATAAGGAGTTCTACCCTAATATTGTAAATCTAAGGCAATGTACCTGAATTATTAATAATACACAAAAAAGAAATTGATATATCAAGACTCTAAAGAGTAACGCTATTGCAAAATTGTGTTGCAATAAAATTAGGTCTAGCAATAACAACAAGTCTTATAAGCAATTGCAAAATCTACGTGATAATTTATGTTCTTAATCATTTAAAGATAGTGGGATATTAAATCCTAACTATTTCTAAATTTCATTGGAGATAATAAATTAATGGAGAAAACTTTATTTATTTTCATTTGAACTTTTTTGAAAAATAATTATTTCTTTTTGAATTGCTAGAGAATCCAATCCACCATAATGAATTCGTATATTTATATAAAATAGGAAATAAATCTAGGTCCAATTAATGTCTGGAGGGCAAAATGGTAAACACAAAAAGAGAAAATTAATAATAATTTATTTACGTGGGAAAGAAGCCAAGCAAGTAGAGCAACTTTCGAGCCGGATTCACATAAAAAGCCTCACCCACCCTTCACTTTCTTCCATCTTTCTCTTTATCTCTCAGAAAGCAACCAACTCGTCT